CAAATCATTTACTGTGTTTTGCTGTCAGTTAAGTTTTGAGACATTTTAGGAAAATATTTCTACCTCACTTCTTTCAGTTGCTGAAAAGTAAAATGGTTTCTTTGATAGAATCAGATAGGTTGAAGGTTTCACAGACACCTGGACATCCTGGGGAGGGGTGGGGCAGATGGGGAAGTGTTTTCCACAGTTAGCACCTTTACTGTGGGACTCCACAGGGGCTCAGGAGGGGATTCCTCTCAGTTCATTCTAGTTGTTCCCCTATTGCATAGGATGGGTCCTCACTAAAGGCAAATGTGAAATATTTAAGCAACAAAGTTTGTCTCTGGATTCCTTTGTCTAGTTTCTGATGATGTCCACAAGTGCCATCAGACAAAGCTCCCTCATGAACCTTTTTCCCAGGAGGTCATTGAGGTTCAAGGGTGTCAGTTATAGTGCTTTTAGGTGAAAGAACTGCATGCAAAATGAAGTAGCTTAAACAATTGGTTCTTATTGTTATCACTGTCTCACAGAACAAGACTAGCCAGTGGCAGGCACACTCAGGGTTGATTCAGTAACTCTGTGATGTCACCAAGACACTGTTTCTTTTCATCTTTCTGTCCTCTCATCCCTAATATGTCCATATATTTCCTCCCTTGATCATGGATGGCTATAGCAGGTACAAGTTTTCCAACCACACGTGCCAATGTCCATAAGCAAGAAAGGAAGAGATGGGGGAGAAGAGTGCTTTCCTCTTATCTCTCCTTGTGTAAGGAGAGAAAAAGTTTCTCAGAACCCCCACCACAGGAAATTTCCTCTTCATCTTATTGGACAGAATTGGATTCCAGAAGCATCCTGAGTTGAAAGAGGGGCTGGGAAACACAAAACTGTTATCCTCAGTCTCTCTCTTTCTTGGATTTGGGCACTTCCTGTAAGCAAGGATGAGCAAAATGTCACCTACCTACACTTGTTAAAATAATAAACAGTTGGTATTCTAAGCACTTCATGGGCATTTATCCATTGACCCCTCACAACAAATCCTGGGTGTAGGTGTGATTATTATCATTTGGACATAAGCAAAATGATCTGCAGAGATGTTGTGTAAGACAGTGAGGAGGTGAGGGAGCCAAGATTCCAACTCCATGGCCTGATGTAGTGTGTAATGCTCCCAACCAGCAGCAGGCGCCACAGCAGGCCACCTCTAAAATCGGAGCACAGAAGAGATCTGAGTGATGCTCGTCTCCCTCTGAAGTGCAAATGTGACATTTCTCCCCAGCTGCAGGCATGGTGTGTGAGAAGAGCAGAGGGACATTCAAGAGTAATGAGATTCCTTCCTGTTATCATCAAGGTTGCAACAGCTGGGGCTGTGATCAGAGCAAGGGTAGGACCTAGAGAGTCCACTTCACAGCCAGGGGCCAGTGACAGTCAACAGCCCATCATGCTAACACCAGAGTCAGTAGAGTCCAACCACCACCTGGCAGGATTAAATCAGAATAGAAGTTTTGAAGTCAGAGAAATGAATTAGAGACCATTTCCAGTATCTCTCTTATTTTCAAATGAGAAAACTTAGGCACAAATAAAGTGGATTAATTTGTCCAGATTATCCAACTAGTTTATCTAAGATGAGACACAAAAGGAGGGCTTTTTTTTCCCCCCTCAGTAAACACAAAGAATAACTTAAAAGCATGCCTTCGATGAAGACTTGTCTGATTCTTGTAAAATGCATCCCTAGCACTTTGTATGTGCTTCTGTTAAAATGGTGAATTATTCACCTGTGCATAGGTTTCTTCTTCAGAGGTGCATCTTTACAGCTCTGCCTGCTAATTGAGTGACCTGTGTTGAGTTCCATCACCTCTCCAGTACTTCTTCTCTTTCTCTATAGAGAAAACAATTGTTCCGACTTCACAGTTTTGCGAGGGCAATTCAGTTCAATCCCACACAGCACTGTGTGCCAGGCAGATTCAGTGGTGGTAAGTAGCAGTTACTATTGATTTTGTATCTCCCAGCTGTCGACTCCCATGTTTGGTAAATCAACAATTTAGCAATCCACTGAGAGGCAGAGCATTAGAGAGGCATAATAATGCCATATGGAAAGAGGTCCAGAGAAGGTCTAAATCCAAAAGGGTGGTAAGAACTGAAAGTACAGGAGGAAGAAACTCACAGAAGTAGGAGCAACTTCACCATGAACTCCATCTCCAAAACCTGCTTCATGGTTCTACAGCTTGGCATGCTCAAGATTTAAATAAGGTAAGTTTCTTTTACCCACATTTTTAGACAGACTTAAAAGGATTTCAAACATATGGCTGGTAGGTGGCAAAGCCTGGACTGAATACCAAGATCAGATGATTCCACAAACGGGTCCTACACTCCTACAAATCACTGTGAAAATGAGATGTTGATGCAAGTGGACTTATCGGCACAATGGTTGGAACTGGAGGGATGGTGATATCATGGCTGGTTTTGTTATTGTAATTATATTCCACATATCCCTCCTGCACTGGGCCCAGCAGAGAAACATGGTGGCAGTATGATTCTGAAGGAAGAAGCAAGTCTTCTAACACCCAATCCATCAGCCCCCGGAGAAGCACCAACTCTGGCTGCTCCAGGAAGTATCTCCGCAACTCAGAGTTCTATTGCCCAGCACTTTGTTCAGGTGGAGAAAGAGGCTGACCGAGCCAGAGGCAGGCAGAGCAACCCACATTCAATCGGACACCTAACCGAGTTCTCATTCTACCTCAACCTTTCTTGATGAGGCAAAGAAGCAGAGAGGCAGCATCAGCAACCATGAAAACAACCAGGAGAGAAAGCAGCTGGCTCTGGAGGGCCTGGTGCCAAACCCCAGGCCCAGAGGGACTCTGGCAGTGATGATAGTGGTAAACAAACAGAGCTGATGGCTGCACGGGGTGCTAGATCCTGCCAAGAGGGGACTGAGGAGATGGGATTCCTGTAATTATGCTAGTGTGGGCTCAGCTATCATGAGGTTGTCCACAGCAGACTCTGATCTGTCCCCAGGCTGGGGTTGCTGCAGCACCTGTTCCAGCAGAAGTAGTCTGGCAGGCCAAACAAAACAGGATGGTCCACGCCACCTGTAAAGGAATGTGGTGCCTAATGACGTGTGTGAAGCACCTAATTGTCATGATCAGTTTTGAACCTCTTCACTGGTAGGTGCTAAACAAGCACCACAGAGCGAAAGCCCATTTCCTGCAAAGGTGTTTTTATCCCCCCACCATTAACACTGTGAGCAATCGTGTCATTTGAAAAAGCCAAGCATCATATTTTCATCGTGAAATTGTTTTTAGTGCCACTTCTTTTGGCCCTCTTTCTCCGCTTTTGTTATGAGCATCTTACTTTCCTCGGTTTATTCAGTTACTGCTTCCCTGATGAGTAATTTGGGTTATAATTATTTTCTCATTTCCTCTCCAGCTGGCACTAGTTTTGGCCCCTTCCATCCCATATATCTTTAAAATGTCACACTGTTGCCCTGGTTTATTTTAAAACCCTGGTACAAGGGGAACTGTAACCAATGTAGACACATCCTTGCATCTATTAGAAAACTTTCCTTCTGGCTTCCTGTGTGCCACTGCTGATAGGAAGACAATCCAGCAAGCTGACAACAAACAGTAGAGTGTCATTTCAAACAAAAATGGTAAAACAATCATCCGTTTCTGCTACCTAAAAAAAGAAAAGGCAAGGGATGTCTAGAAAAGCAGCAACATTTAATAGTGATAATGTCCCATATCAAGCTTTCATTATGTTTTCATATTGCACAGCCAAAATTACAAGGCCAAGGCCAATCCTACTGATTAGGACTTCCATAATTAAGATATTTTTGAGGCAAAGAGTTTCTGTCTCTTCATCTGAGGTTCCTAAAATAAAGTTTATCATTGAAAATTAGAATAAAAAAGTGGTAACAAAACTTTGCAGTAAAATAATGAACTTTTTTTTTCTTTTTGGTCTGAAAACTTGAACATCAATGCATCTATTTTCAGAAGTTCTCTTTCATATTTCTTTCTTTTGATGTCCAATATAGCACATCATCAGTATGATCAAACTACATAAATACTAAGCAATGACTATAATCTATAATTTCTAAGGAACTGAGTTTATAAATTAATCACCTTGAGTATTTCCCCAGAATCATAGGTATTTATAAATATGATCCTTAAAACACTCTTGAGAATGATCGTTGCAACAATTAAGGGGCAGCTTAAAACAAATATAACAATAACAACAACAGCAAAAAACATCATGAGGAACTCATTTCTCATAAATTCAATAAAATTAAAAGGAGCTGGGCATGGTGATACATGCCTATAATCCCAACAGATGGAGAAGCTGAGGCAGGAGAACACAAGTTCAAAGCCCACCTCAGCAAGTTAGCCAGGCCCCAAGCAACTTAGCAAGACCCTGACTCAAAATAAAAAAGAGCTGGGGATGTGATTCAGTGGTTAAGCACCTCTGGATTCAATTCCCAGTATGAATAATAATAATGAAAAGGAAGAAACACATAGGAAATATGTTTTTACAAACCTAATTTTGAATATCACTGTGTATATTCATAAGTTAAAAGCTCATAATAGCTCAGTCCTATAGAGGTAAGAAATTAAGTATCAATAGGCTAGAATAATTTACTTACTATGGAAAAAGTTAAAGACAAACTAAACTTGGTCCAGATATTCTCAAATACTCACTAGAAAACATTTTATTTCTGTTTTCTCTTTCATTGCTTGTTTGTGGGTTTTGGTGTTAGAGATTAAACCCAGAGCCTCATGCACACACATGCTGTTCCACTGAGCTACACCCCTAGCCCCAGCATTTATTTTTATTTTTTTTTTAAAGAGAGAGAGAGAATTTTGATATTTATTTTTTAGTTTTCGGCGGGCACAACATCTTTGTTTGTATGTGGTGCTGAGGATGGAACCCGGGCCGCTGGCATACCAGGCGAGTGCGCTACCACTTGAGCCACATCCCCAGCCCCCCCCCCCAGCATTTATTTTAAAAAGAGAAAGACCACATCTCTTAGGTTCTTTTGTGTTCAAGAGCAATTTTATTTTAATTAAGCATTAAAATTACATAGCTTGTTATAAATTAATGTTTCCTTTTGGATAACCAGTATAAATATCAATTAGGCCTACAACTATTTTTTAATGTTTTTTTTTTACATTAAAAAGACAGTACTTTTAAGGCACAGTTAGATATTCTAATGCAACAATAAGAACTATTGTAACTCCTATAAAGTAAATGAAAGAATTGCTTTAGTTAGGAAACTTTTTGTACGCAGTCATGAAACTACAACTTGAATAAACTTGGGTAAAAGGAGATTTTATGAAAAGGAAAAAACATATAGGAAATCTGTTTTGCAAATATAATTTCAAGTATAATAGGGAGTATTTCATGTATCTAAAGGATAACAAGCCTGACCTCAGAGACAAGGAACACCACAGCCTCCCTCTCCTTTTGAGCTCAGTGATTCAGTTTCAACCCCCGACCCACCCCTCTGGGCTGGGCTTTCTACCATGGTGACCACAGCAGCTTCTGTGTCCCTTGTCACACAGACTCAGTGAATGTACCTGTTCAAAAAAAATCCTGGGACAATCTGTTCTGTTTTCCTTGATCTGAATGACAATATCCAAGAAGAAGGAACATTCTCAATGGCAAACCACCAGAAGGTCTTGGTCAGATTCCAGGCAGAAGTAATTCCCGAAAAATGAGGGGAGGGCAATGTATTGAACAGGCTACTGGGCTACCAACCAAGATTAAATAACAAAGTAAGACAAAAACAAGTTCAGGCAAAGCCCCAAAAGAAAGGTAACAAAAAGAGGGAAGATTGGAAATTGGCTTGGGCATCTGTGACTTTCCTTCCCATAACCCCCCCGCCCCCCCCAACACACTTCTTGTGGAAAAGAGCCCAAACAATAAATAAATATTTTCAAAATATTTTAAGGCACCATTTTCTCTGTCCTCTTTCTTAGATGTTTTTTCTCGTTTCCCCTAGGCATCCAAATTTTTGGTCTATAAATTGTCCTCAGAGCTCATATCAAGCACATATAATGTTACTGTTAGAATCATTTCAGAGTTATCTCTGTTATGGGTTCAGATCATGCTCCTGATTCACAGCATTATCTTCCAGGGATTGAGATTCTGATGCAATTTCCAGTTCATGCTCTGTTTTCAGCTGCTGCATTTTCGTGTTTAAATCCAGTAAAGTTCTGGCCAGCTGATGGTTTTGGAAACGCATTTCCAGCTAAAAGTTAGGGGAAAAAAAATATAAGGATTTTTATTAGCTTGAGATACAGATCAAATGAAACTGCTCTCAACTGCACAGGAGAAATAAGGAGTCTTTGGGAAAGGAAAATAAGATATCAAAAAAAGATGTATTTCTCATCTTATTTTCACGTTCTGACTATTTGGCCTGGCTATAAAACTGACTTTCTATACGACAAGGTAAAATTCAGATATATAAATAGCTTTTGAAATGGCCTTGAAATGAAAACAAAAATAGCTGATGCACAAAACTGTCCATATGAAAAATACCTGTGTACTGAAGGCTGTTTTCAAGCAATGGCATGTGATCCACGATGAAATCATTTATCTTTATGAGCTTTCCCAGCCACAAGATAACTGCCTAAGGCCATCTGAGTGTTCAGGCTCTGGGCCCATTTACTTGATTACTTGTCATTTCAAGTTTTCAGGATTTTAAATGGTCTCTCCAACGAGCAAAAACATTTAACGACACCTTAGAGGCACATGTATAGTTATGTGTACTTATATAATCTAACACTTTTCACTCTAGAATGAAATGTTCTATAGCAAGGCTGATTTATACCTCCTCCAATCAGAGTTTATGAAGGTCTTCCTGTATTAAAATTTTTTAAAACTAGATCTCTAGGGCAGGTTACCCAGGAGGCAGTCCGACAAAGCTTAGCCCAACATAAACTTTGTATTATAACCTAAAACTAATGATCAACTACTTGTGAATTTCTTGGATCGGGGTCTAGCTTGATGCAGCTCCTGAGAAATTTGCTCTTTCTGCTTCAAATCTCCCATCAACTCGCCAAAAATGACCATCTCAGGATGAACCAGGACATTGTGTAAATAAAAAAGTGCGTAATGCATCAGTTGGTGGTCCGTATGTAATTTGCAAAATAAAGCTAGTGTGTAAAGTTATCTTTCAGTTTTCCCCCACATTTTTCTTCATTCTTCAACACCTAGAACCACATCTATGGTAGCAAGAATTAGCAAGGGATAAAGTAGATGGACATCCAGCTAACAAACAGTAAAAGAACAACACGAAAAGCCCCTATTCGTGGTCTATGAGAAGCTTCAGTTCTCTCTTGGGCTCAGACTCGGGAATCCTGCCCTTTTTTTTTTTCCATCTTCTTTTTCTGGAACCCTTTCCCATGCCAGTTCCCACTGCATCCTGAAGACACACATGCAAAGCTTCACCTCCTTCTGACCTGTGGTTAAGATGCCCTTTACCACTTCTCTTTCTACTGAATGCAATCAAGTGCCAACACTTCCAATTGTGTGGGTAGACATGACTGGCCCCTGCACTGCTTCCACAGCGTTCTGTACACTCGCTCTCGAAACACAAACCAGACTAGACTGATGATGCCGAGGGCAGAGTGTGTGTTTTATTCATGATTATGTCCCCAGCTTGGGTGCATTGCACACAGTACAATGGTCCTCTCCCTATGTGTTTGCTAAAAGACTAAGTGAATGAAGGAATAAATGAATGAACTGATGATAGACAGCCATCCTCTGTCTTCATGCCAAGAAACAGGGAGTAAAATTACTGATAATGGTTCACTCTTAAATAAAGGAAGTATGTGTAATTTACACTTATTTAGGATATTCAAACATCAACAGTTTTTTAACTTTCTTTCATCATGGATGCCTTTGAGAATATGATGAAAGCCATGAACTAGCTATGAGAGGAAAAAAATGCACTTTATGCACCTAAAAATTTTTACATAGAATTTCAATATATATAAGACTGAAATCTACTCACAATACATAAAAACCAATACATCCCACTAGGAAAAGCAAGTCAAACATAACTCCAAATTAACTGAACTTGTTCATCATATCAAAGAAACATCTTTGGTAAATTCTTTTTTAATATATGACACATGTGCTTATGTGTATTGGTGTATGTAGATTCCTACAGAAATCTAATTAATTGACCATAATCAAAAATTACTTCTTCTAGTGATGATGATACTAAGCTAAAATACCCATGTCTATTGCTTCTTCTTTATGACCAATTACACACATTGGCTAGGTGGTTGGCCAAGACGTTGACCATGATTTCTAAATCAGGTACATAATGTCTTGTGAATATATAGAATTCTGTGGTTCCTTTCCAGAAAAACCTTATTTTTTTTTAACACATAAGTATTTGCTCTTTTTGACACAGTCAATAACAATAATTATCACAATAAGAAGAGTCAACAAATAATGCCTATGATCTAGGCACTTGGTATAATATTACCTCATATAATTCTTACAGAAATCCTATGAGATTATTATTTTCATTTGACAGGTGAATAAATAAACTCAAACTTATTAATTAACATCCCAAAGTGGTAGGGCCATCAAATGTTAACAGAGCCCATAAATGCTAATTCTGGGATATGAACCTTCTTCATCTGCTTGGAATTTTATTCCCTATCTTCTCACCCACAAATATACATTACTTGGCTAAAACTCCTACTAGTGGAACAACTTGCTAGAATGTTGTTAAAAGGTGTCTCAGAGTTTCTTCAATATGATCTCTTCATTGGATTTAAATGAGTCCGCTGAGCTGCAGGGAGGAGTAGTGGCATAGTGCTGGTTACAGAGATGGCTGGGCCTCAGCTTTAGCATTTGGCCTCCAGGTGGCTCCATAATGAGGTGGCTCCCATATCTAGCTAGTTAGACTCACTGCTAAGACCCTGGATGAAAATCAAGTGTTTCTTCAACAAGACTATATGGATACAATGGAGCCCTTATCAGATTCGGGTTATTAACATGGTTACGTTGGGTTGACTACCATACTGCCTTTCTTAAAGTCATAAAGGAGATAGATATTATGTGGAGGTACTTAACCAGACAATTCACTAATGTTTAACCATCAGTTCTAAAGTACTGGTTATTGGTATTTAATGTAAAGGAGAAATTTTCAAATCAAGTTTCCATTAATTACATAATTCATCAGCAGCACCATTTCAAAGCATAAATTGCTTCGATTTATGTTGTCCTTTTCAAACTATGTCTGTTTTAGAGGGTTTTTTAAATCTAAAAAAACACTCATATAAAATGTTTACATACACTTCCTCTTGCAGCACACTAAGCCGTAACCTGTCTGATATTCAAAAGCTACAGTTTCACAAAACACCTTACCCTTTCCAGTCTTCTGAATTCTTAACAAAAGGTAAAATAAAAGTATCTTGTGGGATATAAAGAAAGAGTTGCTAATGGGCTCACTCCATCTATCCCAGGGGAGCTTATTTCATTGAATTTTCCTCCTCCACACTTCAAATATACACAAGTCAAAATTTTCCTATGGAGAACTTTTCATATGGCAGAATAATATAGAAACAGGTTGGGGAAGGTCAGCTGGAAACATCACTAGTACACTAGGCCCTGATCAATCCCGGAGGGCCTCTTCCCACGATGTTACTAGGGCAAGGGCAATGCAACTGCGGTAAGTGGACTCAAGCTGGCGCCCCGGGAAGACCAAGGACCGCGGTCAACTCTCACTCTCCCTGGGAACAACTTGGGTGGATCTCCCTAAGTCCTCGGGTAGGCTACGCAGCCTCCAAAGGCTCTGGAGGCGGAGGAGAAGACCCAGGCGACGACTGCCCGAGAGCCGGCCGCCCAGCCCGCGCGCTCACCAGCTCTGCGCGCAGGCGGCCCAGAGCGCTCTCGACGCGCGCCCGGCTCTGCTCCTCCAGCGCCGCCGCCTCGGCTGCCGCCTCGGCCGCCGCGGCAGCCTCCCGCGCACGCCGCGAGCCCCAGCGCGCCACGGTGCGCTGCAAGGCGCGCATCAGCCGCCGCCGCAGGTCCTCCAGCAGCGGGTTGGCAGCCGGAGATTCCTCCTGGACAGCCCCCGAGACCAAGGGTTGGGGACCACAGTCGAGCTCTGCTGGCGACTCCATGGGGCCTCCAGAAAATTCTCTCTGTGCAGTGACCGTAGTCCCGGAGCCCATCGCGGAGACGCAGAGTTGCTCCTTCGGCGCTCTTGCTGTCAATTTGTTTGCAAGTTTGAGCTTTAGGGCGGGTCAGGGCAGGGGCGGGGGCAACTAACAGTACCAGCAAGACCCTTGGAGGAGTAGGACGAGTTCATCCACTTAAGAGAGGCTCCTTTGTTTCCAGCCCTGTCTCTGTCCTTTCTCCCTCTTTTGCAACAAAGGAAGGAAACTGGGTCATTGTTTTTGCTTTGTGGAGTGGAGAATCTTTCTATGGAGGAGGCAGGGAAAACTGAACCTTCAGTCCACGTAGGTAGAAGTTGAGAAAGTCTAGATAGAATATCTTGACACTAAGCCTCCCCGGGTGCCTTGGTTTTTGAATACTTTGTTCCTTGAAAACAGTTTCTGACTTTCCACCTGTCAGGCACTGTGCCAGGTGTAGGGGATGTAAATACTAATTATTAGACCCCACACCTCTCCCCAAGTATCCTGGTCAAAGGGGGAGGAACTTGAGCCCATTTGCGAGTTTGAACAGTCTTTCTATAAATCCAATGACTCCTGCTGGGGATTCTGAAACTCGGTTCTTTTTTCTGTAGATGATTCCTTCTACCACGTCCACGTGGTAGAACGAAGTTCAGATGAAACACAGAAACTCCCTTTACCCCAAAGCATGTACTTTGGTAATTTCCAATTCAATGTAATCATGTGCCAATATTACACTCTTACAAAAGAATACCAAGTCAAAAGACTGCCTCTTTTTGATCTAGTAGAGAATTTCATAAAAGGAATAAACAATCAAAACTTTTGTGTTCTCATACTCTGCAATGACTAAACAAATAAATAAAAATAAACAGTGACTGAATTGCTCACTTGGAACTCTCATCTTAGAGTCATTCCTTCAATAAAGTTGTACAAATCACCTGTAAGGTTCCAAGGTTCCTGGTAAGCACCGAAGGCAGTAAGAGCCCATTTTTATTAATGCTTACTATATGGCAGGTGCTTTCCATGGATTAACCTATTCAGCCTTCACAATAGCCCTGGCAAGGTAGGTGCTATTAGTTTCTGTGTTTTCCAAATGAAGAAACTAAGCAAAAAGTTAAAATGCATATTAAAGGCCACCAAGCTGCTAGGTGGTCCACTGGGGATCTGCACCTAGGAAAGCTGGTTTGTGCTCCAGACCACTGGAATACACCCTGGATATGCCCAACCTTCCAAAGAGAAAGGAGAATGGCTCAAGTTATATATTGCATGAGTTAGTGAAAAAGAGAATGCTCAAAATACTGTGCTCATAACAATCAGCTCTCCTGAAATACCTTTGGTGTACAATGGATTAGAAGGAACACAGGTTACCAGATTCTGCAGATAATCTGACAAATTCAACACTTTACAATAATTTACAACCTCAGTACAATGAAATGCTTATCATTGTACATTGTTCATCTTTATATTCTCTAGAAACATTTGAAGTTGGGTTCTCTTGGTAGAGGTTATGAATTCTATATGATTTACTATTTGTTAGCAAAGTATAATGTTTAGTTTTTGGTGATCAGTTGAGGGGACTTGAAAACTAGCACTACTCAATGAACAGTATAAATGCTTAAAATGCGTGTTCTGCTATGATTTTTCACCTGTATTTCCAGATCATTTTTTCTCAACCAGAATTTCAGTTAAGTTTTATTTAATTCCACAAACAGTGAATGAATGGTGTAGGTCCAGTGTCAAGCATTGTACATGTGAGAGAGATACAATGATGAATAAAATACAGAGCCCAGAGCTGGGAAAGGAATTCATTCATTCATTCAATAGGATTGATTTAATGTCTTGTTATATACTAAGGATTATACATGATGCTCAGGCTACAATGATAAACCAAGGGACAAAATTATGTTTTAAAATTAATAATTTCCTTCTATAGACTGATTTTTCAACTGGGATGTACTTTGAATTTTATTATAATTTTTTTCATTGTGGTTCTGATTTGATTTTTTTCTGTGCTGAGAAGAAGCTTTTTAGTTTGCTGTAATCTTTTGTTTTTGTTTCCTATACTTTTGGGATCTTGTCCATAACATCCTTGCTTGTCCAGATGTCCTGAAGCATTTCCCCTAAGTTTTCTTCTAATAGTTTCATAGTGTTTAGTCTTACAAGTCTTTAATACATTTTTAGTTTATTTTTGTAAATGGTAAGAGGTAGGGATGACTTTGACTCTTCTTGATTCTTAAAGGACATAAAACTTTTTTGATATTTATTTTTTAGTTTTAGGTGGACACAATATCTTTATGTGGTGCTGAGGATTGAACCCCGTGCCTCACAGGTGCTAGGCGAGCACTCTACCACTTAAGCCACAACCCCAGCCCTGAAAGACATAAAACTCTTTAAAGAAAAAATTTAACACTATCTGTGTGGGGTTTTTTGTGGGGGGGTGGTATATTTTTTTGTCCCTAGTGCTTCTTCTTTCCCTTCCCTCCTCCTCTGCCTATTCCTCTTCCTCTACACTACTGGTCTTCCTTCTACTCATTTACTTACTTATTTGTTTTATGTGGTTTATAATGAATGTTGATGTAATATATGTGGCAACTATAGTTAAATATACAAAAGAGATGTATATTTTATGTAAAATGCCACATGGTATTAGCCTTAAGTACACTGAAAAATATTAAGAGCAAATATTTTTAAGCCTGGAGCAATCACTAAATAATAATACAAACAGGTATAGCTAAAAAGCCAAACTAAAATGTCTCCCTAAAATTGTTAAAGATAATCCAATAGAAGGCTGGAATGGAGATACACAGAATTAAAACACCAAGGGGACAAATATAAAATACTAAAATGGAAGACCTAATTAGATCTCATCAAAATTACATTAAATATTAATGTACTCAATACTCCAACTAAAAGTTAAAGATACTCAACTAGATCTTTTAAAGTGGGGACAAAATATATTCTTTCTCAGGAACCTTAACTCTAACGTCACTTCTTTTTTTCCTCTTAAGCCATCTACTCAGAACAATTGTTCTTTTAAGCAATGGGTTCTGTGTGTTTCCTCTCCAAATAAAATGGTCCTGAGTGCTCTTTACAAAAAAAATAATAATAATAATAAGTACTTCTCTAGGCTTGAAAGATTTTCTTTATAAGCTGAAGATAAATACCTATAATATTTTTTGTGAAAGGCTTAGTAATAGTTTGGGCCATTTCGAAATCTATGGGAAAAGTGGTCATTTCATTTTCTGGTTAATTAGCAAAAATTCTTCTTTGGTTGTGCAATGTCCAAAAGATCATTATTGTTTTCCTAACAATTTGCCAGAACTCTGGGTTCAAAGGCTCTTATCACATCCCAGATTCACCTCTTGCATAAGCTCTCTGGGTCAATTTGTTGATAAGTAAAATTAGAATAATCTTTTATTCTTCACACAAATGCTAGGTAGAATTACTAAAGCACCCAGAATTTCACTGAGACAAGTTCATAACAATTCACAAATACTATTTTTTGTTGTTTTTGTTCTTTTTAGTTACACATGACAATAGAATGTATTTTGACATATACAGATGGAGTATAACACCCCATTCTTGTGGTTGTACATGATGTGGAGTTACACTAATCATGTATTCATATATGAACATAGGAAAGTTATGTCCAATTCATTCTACTGTCTTTCCTATTCCCATCCTTCACCCTTCCCTTCATTCCCCTTTGTCTAATCCAATGAATTTCTATTCTGCCCCACCCCACCTTATTGTGTGTTAGCATCTGCATATCAGAGAGAACATTTGGCCTTTGGTTTGGGAGGATTGGCTTATTTCACTTAGCATGATAGTCTCTAGTTCCATCCATTTACCAGCAAATGCCATAATTCCATTCTTCTTTATGGCTGAGTATTCCATTGTGTATATGCATGACATTTTCTTTATCCATTTGTCTGTTGAAGGGTACCTAGGTTGGTTCCATAGCTTGGCTATGGTGGATTGAGCTGCTGTGAACATTGATGTATTAGCCTCACTGTAGTATGCTGATTTTAAGTCCTTTGGGTATATGCCAAGGAGTGGGATATCTAGGTCAAATGGTGGTTCCAATCCAGGTTTTCTAAGGAATATCCATACTGCTTTCCAGAGTGGTTGCACCAATTTGCAATGCATCTGTGTGCCTTTCCCCCCACATCCTCGCCAACAACAAATGCTGTTCTTGTTTTATAAGGGACATGATCAAGAATCTTGCCATAAAGACACATTACTTAACACTGCATCAAGAGATATCATTGAGCTGTATATCTAAGATACAGAAGAATTGGTTTTAGGATTCCAAGAGAAACTCAGTCAGGTCTAAACTACAGAAGTGATACCAAGATAGCCAGTGTCCATTCTAGTGGACAACAATTTTAAACTGCCAGTGACCATGTGCAACCAATATAGTAATCTCCATCACAATGGTGGACTGTGTTATTGCTTAACATATTCTCTGTCTCTCTTGGTGGAAAGGTTATTCTTTCTCTATTCCACTGACCTCAGGCTGGGCTGTGAGATTTGCTTAAGGCAATGAACTATGAGCAAAAGGACATGTCCCATTTGCCAGCAAAAACTTTAGGTGCCATCACACAATCCCTGTCTTCTCCAACAGCATTCAGGGTAGGCAGCTCCGACACCCTCCCACACCCTCCCACACCAGGAGCACAAGGGAAGCTGGCCCATTGTGCCTGTGGAGATTGAGTAAGAAACAAACATTTATAGAATCCATGGAGATTAGTGTTTACTTTTTTGAAAATCCTCATATCTGATTCTCCCTCTGATCTCTCTCTTTTCCCTATAAATAGAGTGTAGATGTAAGCATGCAGAGGACAGAAAGTTCTGGTCAATTGAAGTTTTACTGAATCATTGCTATAAAGAGATGTATGGAAGCTTATTTGCCTAACAAGGAAAATCTAGTTATTAAAAAGTACAAATAAATTCTAGTAACTGTCCAAATACATTTGCTCTTTTATTAGATGTGTTACAAAAGTCAAATGTGACATGGAGATAACGTCAACAGATTTTTACGACAGAATATACAAAGATTCATATGTGGACTGCCAATTTATAGTCTGAGAAGACCATTGCTGCTTGCCTCCATACCAAATATAAAAGGCTAGGTGACTTTTAATGCAGTTTTGATTGCTTATCTCATCTTCATGCTCTTCATCTTGAAGACATTTTAATTACAGCCTTCTAAGACTCAACAGAACCTGGCATCCTCTAAGTGTAGAAACTAAAAATCTTGTGGCACTTTTCCGGAAGCCTTTTATATACTGTGGTAGTCAAGAGTTTTAAGAAATAGAATGAATGTCAAATGTGTCTAAACAGCAACTTTGATACCCATTCTAATAAACGTATTTGTATTGTAACTTACAAGGAGTATGTTATTTTCTCTGACAAGTTCAATTCTAAAATTTCTACATACTCTGAAAGCAATGTCTTCTGAGGGACATTGTCATTTTATGATTGAATCTTTTTTATTAAAACTGAAATATCCTCCATAGTCAATCAGCACATATTTGCTGAGCTGTGCTATTCATAACCAAGCCCAGGAATATGGAAGCAAATGCATTCCTTTTGTGACCCATTACATGCATTAAAACTTAAAAGGTGATAATTGCCAAAAAAAAAAAATTAGTATTTGTAGTAGGTAGCTTCAAAAATGGCTCCCAAAGACCTCTGCCTGGATCTGGTGAACCAGTTCCAATCAGAGTAGCAAAAGGGATGGAATGGAGTGTCATTTCTGAGATTGGGTCACAAAAAGTCTCTTGGTTTCTCCTTGTTCACTGTCTCTTGCTTTCTTTCTTATTTGCTTGTTCTGAAAGACACCAGCTGCTGTGCCATGAGCTGCCCTATGGAGAGGCCTCTGTAACGGAATCAGAGGGAGGCCCCTAGCCAGCAGGCAGTGAGGAATCAAAGCCATCATTCCAGTAGACCATAAGGATCTGAATCAACCAGATGACTGAGAGGGGCTTCAGAGTCTAGAGCGGGAGCAGACATGTTGACAAGTGTTCTACAACCTGAATTTGACAACTCCGTGTGAAGACAAGCTGCAACCGCTTCTTTTCCACTGATAGGCACTCCTCCATGCTTGCTGTGGACTCTTGACTATTGCCCCACTGATCCCTTCCTGTTTGTCTCCAGGG